AAATTTCATATATTGAAAATAAAATAAAATAAAATAAAATAAAAGGATCATCTTCAATGCGTGGAGCTGGGGGCTGTAAGTCATCACTTCAATTGTCACAAAGCTCAGTAGTGTTCCAAGTTCTGTTTCCCCCAGAACATTCACCTTCCTCCATAGGTTCATCTAAAGCAAATGTTACTGATATGTTCTTTTTAGGCCTTAATCTTAAACCTTCTTTCTGTACAACAAGAAAATGGAGAAAAAAGTCAGTTGGTGCTCTGATAGTTCAGTGATTGGTCCCTTGGACAGTAACATTTAAAGAGCCATTTACCTGTAGGATTGGCTTTCGGGGCCTAGCTTCCATAGAGCATTGTCCTAGATGCTGTCTTTTTTCTTTTGACATTCCCATCCTGGTAGTGTGGCTGGGGAAGACAGGAGAGAAAAAGCAATAGTGCAAATAGACACACTTGAAGCTCCTTAATTGAATGCAGCTATTTCCCCATCCCTGCCATATGCCTTTGGACATTGAAAGGAGGAAAGGACAGAGCAAGAGGACATTTAGACCTTTTATTCCTCAAAACCTTAATCAACTCCTGTTTTCTTTTTTTCCTTTGTGTTCTTCTTTTCCATATTCCTGTTCTCTCTCATCTTTTCTTATTATCGGGAGGATCAGAGAACTGAAAGCAAAGAATGTGGGGTGGCTCCAAGACTTTCAGCCATAGAAGGTTTCCAATAAATTTCTTAAGTGGTTCCTGCTCCTTTTCTCCTCTGTGTGGCCCAACGAAACAACAGAAACCCTGTTTTGGAGAAGCTCTAATCCTAATAGGCTGGCTTTACCTTTATACAACTCATCCCACTAACATGACCACTCAAGTTGTGCTGAAGGGAGGGTATACCTCACAGTGTTGGAATGTTTGTGGTCATTGCTCTAGCCCCATTTGGGCCAGTGGATCTTGAGACATTGGTCAGCACTGCACAGAATCCAAACACTACCCAGAAGTTCCTGCATATGTTGAATATGGACTCCTGCATCTGTTCTTATCAGTACACCTAATAGAGGCAGCTCAGTACCTGTCTGATGAGGGTCTTTCCCCAGAGCTTCTGGTGCCCTTGGAGGTTGGGATGCTTGAGGGGAGTGGCTGTCAGCGAGTACACAGCTCTTCATATTTATCCCCAATGGCAGCTAATAGCCAGTGCAGCCCTTCAATTATGGGCTGATGGTTCCCTCTTTGGAGGTTTTTGATGACTGAACAGGGTTCCTATGATAAAAAAGAGAAGAGAAGGCTGTAACCCAGGAGCCTGGGACCCCGGAGGCCCAAAGTCCTAATTATTATCATCCAAGAACAGAGGTACACTTAAGCTCTGCTCTGTCTAGAGAGGCTCTAAGACTTCCTAGGAGAGACTTAGCACTCACTCCTGAGAAAGTAAATGAAAGACAAATGTTAAGGTCTTTTAATAAGTTGTGGTGTAATGTCCTGGATGTCTGACCTTGGGCAAGTCACTCATAATCTCTGAGCCTTAGCCTCTTTATCCATAAAATGAAGTATCCAATACTGAAACTTCTAACTGTAAAGAGCTATTTTGAAGTCCTAATGAGAAAACAGATGTGAAGGTGTTATAAGAATGTGTTATTTACTGTCAGTGTCGAGTCAAAAATCATCACTGTAGATGTTGCCTGCGGGGGAGGCTTTGCCTGAGACCTGGCATATGTGGCTGATTATGGAATGGGCCCAGGGATGCATCAACTGGGCTCAAGAGGGTAAGGGAGGGGAAGAAGGGGGTGGGTAGATACTTACCACTCGGCACAGGGACTTGTTATCATTCACTAGCCTTTCTAGGAATAGATATTCAATAATATCACAGGGTAGGAGGGCATCCTTCTTGTCCTGTTTGTTTGCCATGCTAGAGCAGGGCATAGGAGAGAAGGAGGAAACAGAAGAGGAAGAGTGTAACAGAAATAGAGTCCAAGGGCAAGCAAAGAAGGGAAAGAGGAGGAGAACCAATTCTAGTACAACTACTACATATCCAGGAACTAGCTTCAAAGACATAACCAATGAGATGAGTCAGAGATTTTTCCAGCCAACTCTCAGTGGAGGAAAGAAGAGCACAAATAATTTTAATTCAAGATAATTCCCAGGCTTCATCTCTCACTTCCTCTACACTATGCCACAAAACTTTAATTAGAATTGCTAACCAGGATATGAACCGATTTGGAGTTTTTACACACTCTCCCAACCTTTGTTCATGCTTGAGTTGGGGGTGCTAATGAGGAATGAAAAAGGCAAAAATAGAGTGGGGGAGGAGTGAGGATTGATGGGCCACCGGAATTATCACCTTGGAATGAGTGCTAGTTACATAACTCTTGGGTAGTTAGCCAAAGGAGGAGTCCATTGGCATCAATTATACAAAATAAGGATTGTTTTCTGCTATCTTCTCAGGGCTAGAAACTGAAGCCAGAAAAGAAAAAAATTCAGGAAGGCAGTCTTCCAGAAGAGTTGAGGGAAGGGGGTGGAAGATCCAGATATTACTCTCCATTTCCCTTTGATGCTTGCCTTCAGAATTACCTTTCTATAGGTAGGTAACATGTTCCCCCATGGCAATATGTGATAGAAAGTGGCTCTTAAAAACAGCCCCCAGAGGACTGGCCCACTTCCCTTCACCGAGCCCAAGGGAGGAGAAGGTCAAGCTGGGTATGACAAAGGGACCACCCTTCCTCCATCTACTCTTCTGAAGGTACAAAATGGGAAGGGGAAATTGGTCACAAAAGCAGAGTCTTACAGTAGGATAGGTTTCCCTGCCACTCTTTTATCAGAGAGCAGACGCGTTAAGATGATCTTCACTTCCTGCATGCGTCCCAAGTCACTGGAATCCAGGACAAAAACAAGTCCGTGTGCCTGTGCATAGTAGTTCAGCCAGGTTTCTTGGCCCTTCATGTCTCCACTCAAGTCATAGATGGAAACTTCATACTCATGCAGTAGGAGTGTAGTCAATTCAGATTTCATACAATTGTTCATCCTACTTGGAAGTACTATGCATAGGGGAAGAGAGGAGAAGCAACCACAAAGCAGGAATAGAGTTAGATGTGAGAATTTGTTAAGCAGTGATTTGAAGCTTGACCAGAGCCTTCCCTGAGGAATCCCACTGAGGCATCCTGCCATCCTGCTCACACTCACGGATTCATCTTCCTAAACCAGCACTTGGTCATGCTACCCTTTCCTGGCTCAGTAACCTTTGGTGAGTGCCCACTGCTCCCAGGATAGAATACACACTCCTTTGCCACCTAACTTCCCAGACCTGACTGGTGTCCACGGTGCTCCTGGTACACACCCAGTTTCTTCCTCTTTCTGCTCCTTGGCTCATGTTCTACCCACCCCCCCCCCCGCCCCCGCCCCCGGCCATTCCACAAGAATGTCATGCTTTGTCTTGTTCTGGGCCTTCAGAAGATGCTATTCCCACTGCTTAGAACACTCTTCCGTTACTCTTTATTTGGTTAATGCCTTTTAAAAAATATATCAATTTAGGGGTACCTGGGTGGCTCAGTTAATTAAGCCTCCGACATTGGCTCAGGTCATGATCTCACAGTTCATGGGTTCAAGCCCTGCATCAGGCTCTATGCTGACAGCTCAGAGCCTGGAGCCTG